AAAGATGATTAGATGTTGAGAATTTGCTACGTAAAAATAACGTGCGGGTGGAGAGAGAGGACACAGAAATAGAGGAAAAGTGAAAATCACCCGAGTATGATGGTTTCCAGGAGCAGAGTGAGTGGAATGGTAAATTTCCTGAGCACAGTGAACATCGGCAGGCTGTCAGGAAAAGATTCAAGCATCATAATATCAGACACCAAATATTTGTTTTTAATGTTTTACATTTTTAATTAAGTCCACTAATTTTCCAAATTAAATATAAAGAATTAACCTTAACTCTCACATATGCCACTAATAAGTCACATTAAATAACAAAAAAAATGGAGATTTAATAACTTCATGCTACTTTTACTAATTAGCAATTCAAAACATCATACTATTCAACTAGTACAAGGAATGTGCTGAAACTACAAAGATTGTGCTAAAAGATCACATGCAATGTGACAAATCAAGTTGGGACTGTGAATCAACAGTCATTAATGGTCTGAACCTTGCACCTAATAATGTCTTGATGGGAAACTGATCCAAAGGAAAGGGAAAAACCATTTGCACAAATATGTTCATTTCAGTAGTGTCTGGGAAAAACATGAGAAACAACCCAAGTATCAGATAACAAGGCAATGATTAAATAAATTATGATAAATCCATCTGAGGGAACATTATACATTAACTCCAGAATATAAAACTTTCCCACTCTTGGAAAATGACTATTAAATAAATCAAGGAGGATGCAAAACTGTATAGAGTCTATAACTGTAATAAGACACATTCTGTATGCAGAAAAAGACTGAAAGTGAATATTTAAAATACTATGTTAGAGGATAAAGTTGTAGGTGATTTTTTTTCCCCAAAACTATATAATGAGGCTACATTTGCTGTGTTTTAAAAATACTGTGAACCTTTCACCCGCTCTCAAAACCCAGAAATTCCAGGACACAGCTCAGTGCACAGCCACAGACTCCCAGGGCTGGAAGCGCCTCCATCTGCTTCCAGAGTGACCCTGAGAAGATGGTGACCTGGGGAAGAGAAGTCAGAACCATGGTGGTGGGGAGGCAGCTCTTCCTGACCAGACCTGAGGAGGGGTTTCACACTGCAACCAGAGAACAGGTGCAGAAAGAATTCTCAGGAACTTCATATCCAGACTTAAAGATGTCTTATGAGACTAGTTGGGACTGTCTTTTTCAAAGCCAGCCAGCCCCCAGAAAAGTTGAATTATATTTCACTGGAATTCAAAAAGTATTTTTAGGTGATGCCTTTTAAAAGCAGATAAGGATACTTAATGGTGAAAAGCTGAATGTTCTCCCGTTAAAATTAGGAATAATACCAGGACGTTCACTCTCACCACTATGTCTGCTCACCTTTGTACATGAGGTTCTAGAAGGGCAATTGAGTCCAAAAAAAAAAAAAAAAAAACATGCAGTTTGGAAAAAAGAACAGAAATAAAGTTCTCTACTTTCAGCTGATATATATATATATATATATATATCTCCTAAGGAATCCATTAAAAAGTTATTAGAACTAATGAATTAGGTAACTGTGCAGAAAACAAAGTGAATATACAAAAATCAATTATACTGCTATGCACTAGCAGTGAGAAATCCAATAAGGAAATGAACAATTCCATTTATGATAGCATCAAAAAGAACATAATTCTTAGGACTAACTTAACAAAAGCAGTGTAAGAATTATACACTACAAACTACAAAATATCATTAAAAGATGAAAGAAAATTAAATGGGAAAATACTCCATGTTTATGGATCAGAGGCTTCAAGGTGTTAAAATGGATGTACTTCCCAAATAAATCTATGGCTTCAACACAATCCCTATCAAAATGTCAGCTGTCTTGTTCCCCCCAGAAATTGACAAAACTGATTCTAAAATCAACGTGGAAGTGTAAGAAAACCAGAAAGCCAGAACAATCGTGAAAAAGAAGAACAAAGTTGGAGGAACTTACAACAATTTCAAAACTTACAACAAAGTTACAATTACCAGTATTATCTAGTACGGGTTAAGAGTAAACATTTAATCAAAGGAGTAAGATTGAGAATCAAGAAATAAATGTTTACAATTATGGTCAATTAATTTTGAACAACAGTGCTAAGACAATAACAACGGGAAAGAACAGTCTTTTCAATAAATACTGAAACAACTAAACATTCACATGCAAAAGAGTGAATCTGGATCCCTACCTCACACTATATACAAAAAACATTATCTCCAAATATGTCAAAGACCTAAACGCAGGAGCTAAAACTATAAGACTCTTAGAAGAAAGAACAGGATTAAATCTTCAAGATCTTGAGTTAGGCAAAGTTTTCTTAGATGCAATGACAAAAGCACAAGCAACAAAAGAAAAAAATTGATATATCAGACTTCATCAAAATGTAAGACTTTTATAGATGGATAAACAAAATGTGATAGATACAAACAACAGAATATTACTCAGCCTTAGTAAGGACTGAAATTCTGATACATGCTACAACATGGATGAAACTGGAAAACATTATGCTAACCAAAACAAACCAAAGAGGACAAATGTTGCATGATTCTATTTGTATGAAATACTAGATTAGGCGAATTCATAGAGATAGTAAGTAAAATAAGAGTTTACCAGGGCTGGGGGGGTGGGGGCAGGGGAAATGGGACATTATTGTTTAGTGAGCACAGAATTTCTGTTTGGGATCATGAAAATTTTCTGATAATGGATAGTGGTGATAGTTGCTCAAGGTCATAAATATACTTAATGCCACTAAAATGTACACTTAAAATGGTTAAAATGGTGAGTTTTATGTTATATATATTTTGCTATGATTTTAAAATACTTTAAATGGTTGAAATCGTAACTTTTAGGTTATGTATATTTCATCTCAATCATTGATTAAAGTTTTAAAAACTTAAACTTCTGTGCTTCAAAGTACACCACTGAGAGCAAAAAGACACTCCACAGAATAGGAGAAAATTTTGCAGTCATATGTATAATAAGGGACCTGTAGCTAGAAATACATATAAAGACTTAAAACTCAATAATTAAAAAGATAAAGAACCCTATTAAAAACAGGCAAAGGATCTGAATAGACATTCCTCCACAGAAGCAGGATAAATGGCCAACAAGCACATGAAGAGAAGCCCTTAAGTCATCAAGGAAATGCAAATCAAAACCACACTGAGATACCACTTCACAACCACCAGAGTAGCTATAATCAAAAAGGCAGACAATAAAAATTTGGCAAGAAGGTACAGAAACTGTAACCCTCATGCATTGCTGGTGGGAATGTAAAATGGCGCAGACACTTTGGAGAACGGTCTGGCAGTACCTCAAAATGGTAAAGACAGAATGGCCATACGACCCCAGCAATCCTTCTTCTAGGTATGGATCCAATCAGTAGAAATCTCAGTCTTCCACTTTATCAGGCCAAATCCAGGGAGTCATCTCTGCCTCTCATACTCTACATTTTATTCATCAGGATACTGCGTAAGCCCTTCCTTCCAGATATATCCGGTACCCAGACTGTGGCCTCAGCCTCACACTGTAAATAACCAGGGGATTCTTGGAGAAATGGCAGGAAAAGTCCAGGATAAACCTAGGACATCACGTGCCAGAATGCAAGGAAATAAAGACTACTCAGGCCCTAGAACATAGGGCCCAACTCAAAGAGGCTCCCACTGGCCAGAGACAATTTGAACATCAAGAGAATTATTTATATAGTGAGTTAAAACATCAAGTAAATGAAAGAAATAGATCAGTGGAACAGAATAGACAGCCCAGAAATAAACCCACACAAATATCGTCAACAGACCTTTGACAAAGGAGCAAATGTAATTCAATGGAGAAAAACTAGTCTTTTTAACACATGGTCCTCAGACAACTCGACATCTACATGCGAAAACTGAATCTAGACACAGGCCTTATGCCTTTCACAAAAATGAACTTCAAAATGGATCGTACACCTAAGTGTGAAAGGTAAACTATAAAACTTCTGGAAGATAATGTAGGAGAAACTCCAGATGACCTTGGGTTTGGCAATAAGTTTCTAGATGCAACACTGAAAGCACGATCAGTGAAAGTAAACAATGTTAGTGGCACTTCATTACAATGTAAACTTCTGCTCTGTTAAAAGAATGAAAAGACAAGCCATAGACAGAGGAAGTATTTGCAAAATGTGTATCGCATAAAGGACTTGTTTCAAATACACGAAAAATGCATGCGTTCATCACGAAGTATAAAAAACAAAACAAACAACAACTCGCCAATGAAGGTGACAGGACACTAATTTGTTACTCTGAACATTTATAAATAAAGCTTTTATCCTGCTTTTCCTGTGTGAAATGGTGAATGAAAGTCTGTATACACTGAAGAAGTTTAGACAATAAATACAGAAGAAAATCATCATTTTTCAATTTGTAATGAAGTAATAGATCTAGACAATGATCATAATAGATGCTAAAATCATTAGGTGAAAGATCGACGGGGAACGTTCTAAAGAAGAGACCAGACAGACCCCTTCAGTCATTGTAAGTGGAACTGATCACTTACATATCACTAAAAGTGGGATAAAACATTATGTGCCCC